AAGAAAATTGATTTACTTCAGGCTAAAGTACAGAGTTAAATTTTCTGCGGTTGGAGAGAGATAGGGGGAGTAGTAACCCAAGAAAGAATCATTTGACTAGACCACAGCCTTATTTAAATATTTAAAAAGGACAGTGAGACTGACCTACCTCGATTGGTGTAGCTACCCGCAGGTCAGTCGGATTGATTGTAAACAGTTTGTTATATGTAATAAATAAACTTGAAACTCGAAACTTTAAAGGACTCGAAATGGTGACAGTTAATGAGGAACATAGCAGACAAAGCATCGAATAGTATGAAATTGCGTTTTAAAAGGTTAGGATCCCACATCGTACCGTGTGGCACATTTTTGCGGTTCTCTTCGCCACCAGCAAAAAATCAAAAGTATTATAGTCAAACCCCGCTTTCGGGACACCCACTAACACGGACACCTCATTATAACGGACAGTTTGCTTTGCCCCTGGTGGAAGAAACCCTTACATGTTGTCTAATTTTATCCCGCTTAAGGTGACTCAACCCAGTTTTTTGGGGGGGTACCATCCTACTTTGAAGCTCTCTGGTATCCCCACCTTTACTTTTATCGTAAGTCTAACACATAGAACGGATAACATATAGATCAATGTTATGTTTGGCTGAGTTTGTGCTTTGGGAGTTGTCTATTGTTTCTGTCATGATACAGCATTCTTGTTCAGCACTCGTGCAATGACCGCGCTTGGCTGACTTCCGAATACTCACCGAGATATGATAATTTTGGTACAGTGAGACAGGCCATCGCGTGATACATAGAGGTTTAACTCACAATTTTTAATCAATTCTCGTGCTTCTTGTGCCTTTGCAAAAAAAATCAAGAAGTGCTACACACTAAATCTACTTACTATTTAAAAAAATATCATTTTTTCAAAGGTTTAATGCAAGCCAATAATTAAACCAACTCGGAAGTCAGCCAAGCGTGGTCATTGCACGCGTGCTGAACAAGAATGTTGTATCATGACAGACTAGAAACAATAGACAACTCCCAAAGCACAAACTCAGCCAAAACGCTAAAAATCTTCAATGTTTACTCAAGTTTGGGCTTATAGAAGGTAATGTCACAGTTTTTCAATGACCATGAAATTCAGAGACCGGGTAGTTAGTTAATCAATTGTGGCCCTGAAAAAATTTGAAGGAAAAAAAACCACGAATTTTTAAGAAAATGCTTTTTTCGTGAGAAGGACTCTTAAACGCTGACAAACGTCAACAAATAGCGAAAACTATAATTTCTATAAGTTTGCTTTGCTCGAAATCGCGCGCATTTACAAGGCCCTAAGGCCCGGTTCAGACGCCGTACTATTCATGAGCCAAACCTAATACATGTACATTGAATTAAGTACATGAAAAAATCGGCGCCTGAATCAATTAGGAACGCCTGTGTCAATATTGGAACGGCTCAGCCGTTCTTTCCGCCTAACCCGGCCGGGAATTTCGCCTTTGGATCGACTTTGGAACGCCTTTTGATTCAGACGCCGAACTTTTCATGTACAGAACCAAATGCAGAAATTCTTATAACGTATTTTGTAAGCAGTTTGACCGAAATGCGCATTTTTTCGCCTCCTGAATTTAGTTCGGCTGGAATTAAGATCGGCGTCTGAATCACTTTAACCGGTCTAAATAATTTGGGTCGGTCTTAATTCGAATTAGGTTCGGCTCATGAAAAGTTCGGCGTCTGAACCGGGCCTAAATTGTATTGTTGATTTGCAAGGACCCATCTGTTATAACGATGCCCAAAATACAGAGATGAATCCCATAGTTTATTAGATATAATCCGTGTAAAGTTTGTTTATCATTTTCGCATAAATTATGACCTAAATTTGAAACCGCTGAATTTCTCGAATTGGGTCTTTGCGATTTTGGTGAAACTCTGTTCAGCGCAAGGCACTAATGCGCACTATGTGTAGCAGAGAGATTTTCACGAAAAAATGCCGGCAACAGCAGATTTTCGACTCAGACCTCAAAGGGCGTGGCCTGTTATAACAACGTGACATTTACTCCGATCGCCAAAAATTTATGTTATATTGTAGATTGATCTATATGTTATCCATTCTACGTGTTAGACTTACGATAAAAGTAAAGGTGGGGATACCAGAGAGCTTCAAAGTAGGATGGTACCCCCCCAAAAAAACTGGGTCGAGTCACCTTAATACGGAAACCCCGTCAAGAAAGGACACTCCCCCTCTGTGTCCGTATCAACGGAGTTTGACTTTACTGACACTAATTAAGGGAAAGAAAGTTAATTTGTATACTAGGTAATAGCATGATTTGTACGTCATATTTGGCATAAATACCACGAGTGATATTTCAAAATTGTTATACGTAATTTCACAAGCCGTTACGCGAGTGATACAATTTTGAAACATCACAAGTAGTATTTATGCCGAATATCACGTACAGATCATGCTATTATTTGTATATACTACTACCCACAAAAGGTTTGTAATTTTCACATGTAGGTATTTCAAATTAAGCTGAAATACCACTGCTCTAAGCCAATCAAATCGCAGAAACTTCTCATGCAGTAGTATAAGAGGACGAATGGGGGAATAACAGTAAGAGAAATTAACCACGCAAGTGCAATACGTAAGTTTATTTTGTCCCACTATGTTAGAATTAAACTGCCGTTATTTTACACTTGGATGATATGTTATGAGACTTGTATTTTATGTACATATTTACCTGTATTTTATTTACATATTTACTAAAAACACACAAAAGACTGCGTGTGCAAGTTTTTGAAAATCGCCATAGTTACTTCGCAGTAAGAACAAACAAACTCGTGAAAGTCACCACAATGATTCCTCACTGGTTCGCGGGCTAGATCAGACAAGTGGCGGATTCCAGAATCCCGTCTGCCATTGCACATTGAGAAGAAATAAAACTAATCTTTAAAAATGGCAAAGCTTGGATCTTATTTATTCCCTCAAGGATTTAGTGCCCCAGTATGTCACACTCCCAGACGAGTTTCATTTAATTTCCCAGCCCTTTTCGATATGAACATATTGGGCGTGGCACTTATGAAGTGCACGGTCTCCGACAATTGGCTCTCAAACTATGCTAACTATCATTTGCTTTGGAGTCTTTAAATGTCGTATGAGTCTCGTCTCCCATCCATTTCTCTCTGCAATGTCAAAGTAATGAAGCGCACGGTCTCCGACAATTGGCTCTCAAACTATGCTGACTATCATTTTCTTTGGTTGCTTTGGAGGCTTTAAATGTCGTATGAGTCTCTTCTCCCATCCTTTTCTCTCTGCACTGTCATGGTAATCCAAAAATGTTTTTGTTCGTAGAGTCTTTGGAAGTCGTGTAGGGTCAGTCCAATCGATGCGAATGATAATCACTGCTGTGTCACTTTTTTCAAAACTCCGCTGTAAGGCATAGTCCAGTTCTTGTTTGCAATATTTACTAGAAGCGTAATTGGCCGACCAGACTGCTAAAACTTTGCGGCTCTTATAGATGCCTTCCACCATGCTTTGTAGAAACGCTTTGCCAAGTTCAAAGTGGATGAAATCCACGCAATATTTCACTTGGTTATGATTAAATAGAGGTAGCAGCTCCTTGTCCACCCAGGAGAAGTCTTTTCTGCAATATGTGAGGAATACATCATACTCGAAGTCTCCTGCGTCCAGATCTGGGGGAGATTTAACTAGGAGGCAAGAAAAAAAAAACGATGAGTATTGGAACAAGAAGAAAAGACGCTAGCTAGCGTTGATTCCGAAGGGTTTTTCTTCTACAGAGGAGTTGCAAAAGGACAGCTGAGGTCTGGTAACGGCGAAACGCTTGGTTCACCTGAACAGTGCTCGGGTATCCGCATAAAATGGTGTTCTGCTCAGGCCTTGAGTACCCGATAAGTAATTCTCTACACATATACTCCATATCTCCTTATCAGACGCCTTTTTTGAAATGTGAGATTAACAGGGAAAAACAAAGAATTGATTGCTCAGGGGCTAAAATAAAAACAAAACACAGTGTGCTCCCAGTGCCCGAGTAAAAAGACTCGGACATAAAAGTGGAACGCATCATCTAACATCTGATGTATTTCATCATTGACTTACTTGATTTTGGAGGCCTGGGTTTTGGCCATCTCCATAGCTTTATAGAAACTATTATGGTCGTCACCAATCCAACAAAGAGACCCAGACCAATGAACAGTGTAGTTCCAAGCAAATCTGCTTTCCCCTCGGGAGTCTCGGGCATTTTAGTAGGTGGCTGAATATGGAAATCTGGTTGGGAGCGTGGTTTCCGCGTGACCTTAAAACTAACGTTTTTCAGGTGTAAGCCAAGTGAGGTGTTAAGAGCACATGTATACTCGCCGCTGTCGTTCAGTCCAACGTTATAAATAGTCAATCCAATCTTCACTCTCTTTATGCTCTGTTCTGATTGTTCCAACCAAGGGGAAGTGTTTTTTTCTTTATACTTGTCGTTACTGTTTATCCGGCTGCCGTTAAAAATCCAAAACGTGTCGACAAAAAACGCTTCCGGGTACACTGCATTGCAACTTAGCGTTATATTTTGGCCGTCAACAGCGTCTATATTCGATTTGGTTTGCACTAGAGTTGGACCTTCCAAGTCTTTCACTGTCACGGTTATATTCTGTGTTTTCATAACGCCAGTTGAATTAGCACCACACGTGTATACGCCAGTCTGTGATAGCATGGCATTCTTTAGTACGAACGTTGAGATGTTTGTGACTGTGTTACTTAAATCATGCTCGTTTCCTGTATGAAATGGTGTAGCTTCAATCATTTTGCCCTTGAAAAGCCAGAATGTCCAAACGTCCATTGCTTTTGAGCACATGACTTCACATTGCAGTGACGCAGTGCGCCCTTCTTCAATGATGACATTTGGTGGCGATGCTGTGAGGTTCAGTGCTGTGAGAAAGTAGGAAGAAGTTAGGTTTCTGAAAAAATGCCCACCTACCCCTCCCCTAAGCCATAATTTTGCCCTAAGTGAGAAGGAAGTATTAATGTTAGCTTAGGGGAGGGGTAGAGCTCTCTGACAACTTCACTAAATAAACAAAGAGGATTTTGAACGTTATTACCTTGGGCCGGGTTTTTCAAAGCTGGGTTAAGATAACGCAGGGTTAGTGCAAAATTTGAATTCAGATATGAAAGCTTAAAAAGTAACTTTAGCTTAATTCTTTTTGTCAACAAGTTGATGATTGAATGCTCTTGAAAATAACAGAGAAAATTATCCGAGAAAATGCTTTTGCACCCCAAAGAAAAAGAAACCCGGGTTAAATTTAACCCTGGGTTAAGTGCTAGTCGACCTTTGAACAACTGGGCCCACTTGGGTATCAGATACTTTAATGCGCGGTTTTATGTTTCTGATCCCGGTCAAGTCTTAATTGAACATTCATCGGCCTCTCTTTGGATAACGTTTATTTTAAAAAACTGTCTTCAAACTCTTGCAAACGACCACTTTAAACATAGTCTAGTCTCAAGAGGTTGCTTTTCTACCAGAAACAAAGACCTAATACACTTTACATTTACACAAAATTTGCTCTTACTTATAAATCTAGCGAAGGTAAAAAAGTTATACTTACTGCTTTCATATAAACGCAGCTTTATTGAAGCTTCGGCTTTGTCGGTTTTGAGAAAGTTACTAACGTGGGCAATGCAACGATAGTCACCGACATCTTTCTCTGATACATTTAAGATAGCTAGAGAAGACTTTGCCTGTTTTCCTTGAAGCCAGGTTACTTTGGTATTCCTGTTTTCTTTATTCTCTACTGTCTCGTTGTTAAACTTCCACTTAAAAAGCTATCGAGTCGTTGCACATTAGTTCCTTGGCAAACCAATGTAACGTCGGAGCCTCTCACTGCAGTGACTGTACTATTGAGTGAATGTATTACTGGGGAGGTACTGGCATCTGTGGAGAGGAATTCAGTAATCAAAAACCAGGATTATAAACGTCAATGTATTCAACTCGAAAATTTATGTTCATGCAATAGGAATAATGGAAATGTTCGCGTTTGAATTATGGAATAACGGAAATTGTCGAGTTGGAATAATGATATAATGCCCTTTTGTGGGCAGAATAACAGATGGAATAGGGCAACTTTTCGAGATGCAATTACGGAATAATAGACACCTCATTATGCCTTTTCATTCTCCGAATTCTCTAGTTTATATTCTCGCCACTTCTAGCTCCTGCCCGGCTTCTTACCTGTAGTCCATAGCACAGCTGCAAGCAGCAAATTTACAAAGAGAAAATGAGTCATTTTGCCATAAGCCATTGTCTTTAAATCGAGGATATCCGTTTCAAAATTCTTCAGTGTGTCGTGCTCTGCAGAAGTTGGTTTTTTCCTGTTTGATCTGCAGTGTCGCTTTCACTTTCACGACATTTGAATATTTTTATAGACTAGATGACGATCGAGTCGAGGGGAGGTTGGGAAAGAGCAGTTAGTTTATGTCATTTCCTTCTTATCTGTTTTTCTCAGAAAAAGAAATCGTGGACATTTCGCGCCCGTGATTAATTGTCAGCGGAATCTCATTTTCAAAATGACGGACAAAAACGATTGTAGTCAGGGAAAGCGTATCCCCTGCGATTTTTAAATAATTTGAGCTCTGTGGATCTGTTTTACGAAGAAAGAAGCGGGAATAAAACACCTTGCAAGAAAATGTTAGGTTTATACTCGGCCGAGCGGCTGATAGCGACAAAACAGTACGCGCATGTACCTTTCGTGACATTTTCGTGACAATTTTGTTTTAAAACCAAGCCTGGTAGGCTAATCGAGGATTTTTGAATGCCTGGAATCTAGTTTATATCCCGTGAAGCATCTCTGGAGTTGTAGCAACAAACAAAATGGCGATTGGGTGAGGTTTGGAGTTGTGAAGCTTTGTCCGACCGAAATGTGTCATTCGCAACTATGGCTCATAGTTAATTGAGTGGAATGGTTATGAAACCCGTCAGACTCCTTTGTTATATGTTTTTGTGGACCTGAAAGTGCACAACGTTCAAAAGAATTCCTATCATTTTAATTGTATTGACCAATAAAAACGTGGTGCTTTGAACATAAACTGCAGCACTGTTGTTTTTATCATTGATGTTTGCCGCTTTTCATAACCAGTCTCCTCTAATAACTATGCATTAATGGACTACAGATGGAAAACTGAGGGAAATAATGCGCCTTTGGAAGTATTTTGCAGTGCCAAAATCGTCCTTTTTACGACTGTTTAGGAAACATCTTACATAGCAGAAGTGATATCGAGTCGTGCAAATTTACTTCATTGAAGGGTTTATCCTCTAATCGACGAGTATTTCGCATGACTTCGGCAAGATTTTAAGACAATGTATGGAGAAATGGAGCGTACAACGAGAGATAAAAGTGGCCACTTCGGGAAGTAAGTAAACCTACTTCTAATTGGCCATTTTTAACCCAATTGCGAAGGTTACACAGCACTTAACATGTTTCGAGTCGTGCACCGAAGACCCGTAAGCTCATAATCGATATATTTGAACAAGTTTCCTTATCTCCATACATTTTCTTGTACGAATTCGCAGCCATTATGGCCTTAGTGCGCACGCGCAAGCGCCATCTTGTCCCTAATTTCTGGCAATGTTTTAGCAGATGTAATCAAATTAAATTTGCCTTTGTACTATGCCATTAGATGAAAAGTCATAGAAATAATATATATAATTAAGGGGTTTACCTAAAATCCGGAATCCGCGGAAAAAAAAAACATACCGAACGCCGAATGATTCTGAGAGCCTGGTTTCTGAAAGGCCGATTAGCGCTGATCCAAGATTAAAATTTTGTTCGGTTTTTTTATTTTTCCTTCCTATGTATTGCTTAGAGTAAGTTTTGGTGTTATTATTATTATTATTATCTCAGAGTAAAGGCTCAACAGTATTTTGTAAGCTTGAGTTGCATGTTCTTAATCTCGTACCCAGATCTCCCACGGCCACAGTGTAAAACAGAGTGAGATCTGGGTACGAGATTAGCATGTTCTTAGAGTCTTTAGGTCACGTTGCCATGGTAGCAAAATTTTTGGATGACAACAAACTGATAAAGTCACTTAAAAGTCTATTTGCACTATTTCAAACTTCACCTTTCTTATTAAGTTCCCTTTAATTTGGCATATCTTGGCGAAATTTTCTTTGGGACCATATCGATTGTTATCTAAGTTTAGAAAAAGAAAGTGACAATTTTTGTGTTGTGTTCACCTACTCTATATAGCGGGCTCTTGAAATTAGGAAGTTTCATGCCGTAGTGGTGCAACGACGGTAAACAAAAGTACAAAATAGCCTGATGCACGTGCAAACTTGTTGTTTGTCAACATAAACATTATATTTTTTGCCGTTGTCCTTGCCGTCGCCGTCGTCGTTGGAACCTGTTTCACTCAATTTCCTAACCCTAATCACTACATTTACATTTACATTTACATTTACATATATCATCTTGCAATATCTATTACAGACATATTCGCAAGCTCCCAACTAATAACTAAAGTGCTACTATTAGGAAATGTAAAAACAAAAATACAATAAATCGAAAGGGGTAAACATCACACTGAAAAAATGTAGTCAGAGTCGGAGTGGGCTTTTTCCGTACTCCGGATCTGAGACAAACCCTGTTTAAGCAGAAGTGGAAAGGCAAGAAAATTGATTTACTTCAGGCTAAAGTACAGAGTTAAATTTTCTGCGGTTGGAGAGAGATAGGGGGAGTAGTAACCCAAGAAAGAATCATTTGACTAGACCACAGCCTTATTTAAATATTTAAAAAAGGACAGTGAGACTGACCTACCTCGATTGGTGTAGCTACCCGCAGGTCAGTCGGATTGATTGTAAACAGTTTGTTATATGTAATAAATAAACTTGAAACTCGAAACTTTAAAGGACTCGAAATGGTGACAGTTAATGAGGAACATAGCAGACAAAGCATCGAATAGTATGAAATTGCGTTTTAAAAGGTTAGGATCCCACATCGTACCGTGTGGCACATTTTTGCGGTTCTCTTCGCCACCAGCAAAAAATCAAAAGTATTATAGTCAAACCCCGCTTTCGGGACACCCACTAACACGGACACCTCATTATAACGGACAGTTTGCTTTGCCCCTGGTGGAAGAAACCCTTACATGTTGTCTAATTTTATCCCGCTTAAGGTGACTCAACCCAGTTTTTTGGGGGGGTACCATCCTACTTTGAAGCTCTCTGGTATCCCCACCTTTACTTTTATCGTAAGTCTAACACATAGAACGGATAACATATAGATCAATGTTATGTTTGGCTGAGTTTGTGCTTTGGGAGTTGTCTATTGTTTCTGTCATGATACAGCATTCTTGTTCAGCACGCGTGCAATGACCGCGCTTGGCTGACTTCCGAATGCTCACCCAGATATGATAATTTTGGTACAGTGAGACAGGCCATCGCGTGATACATAGAGGTTTAACTCACAATTTTTAATCAATTCTCGTGCTTCTTGTGCCTTTGCAAAAAAATCAAGAAGTGCTACACACTAAATCTACTTACTATTAAAAAAATATCATTTTTTCATAGGTTTAATGCAAGCCAATAATTAAACCAACTCGGAAGTCAGCCAAGCGTGGTCATTGCACGCGTGCTGAACAAGAATGTTGTATCATGACAGACTAGAAACAATAGACAACTCCCAAAGCACAAACTCAGCCAAAACGCTAAAAATCTTCAATGTTTACTCAAGTTTGGGCTTATAGAAGGTAATGTCACAGTTTTTCAATGACCATGAAATTCAGAGACCGGGTAGTTAGTTAATCAATTGTGGCCCTGAAAAAATTTGAAGGAAAAAAAACCACGAATTTTTAAGAAAATGCTTTTTTCGTGAGAAGGACTCTTAAACGCTGACAAACGTCAACAAATAGCGAAAACTATAATTTCTATAAGTTTGCTTTGCTCGAAATCGCGCGCATTTACAAGGCCCTAAGGCCCGGTTCAGACGCCGTACTTTTCATGAGCCGAACCTAATACATTGAATTAAGTACATGAAAAGTTCGGCGTCTGAATCAATTAGGAACGCCTGTTTCAATTTGGAACGGCTCAGCCGTTCTTTTCGCCTAGCCCGGCCGGGAATTTCGCCTTTGGATCGACTTTGGAACGCCTTTGATTCAGACGCCGAACTTTTCATGTACAGAACCAAATGCAGAAATTCTTATAACGTATTTTGTAAGCAGTTTGACCGAAATGCGCATTTTTCGCCTCCTGAATTTAGTTCGGCTGGAATTAAGATCGGCGTCTGAATCACTTTAACCGGTCTAAATAATTTGGGTCGGTCTTAATTCGAATTAGGTTCGGCTCATGAAAAGTTCGGCGTCTGAACCGGGCCTAAATTGTATTGTTGATTTGCAAGGACCCATCTGTTATAACGATGCCCAAAATACAGAGATGAATCCCATAGTTTATTAGATATAATCCGTGTAAAGTTTGTTTATCATTTTCGCATAAATTATGACCTAAATTTGGAAACCGCTGAATTTCTCGAATTGGGTCTTTGCGATTTTGGTGAAACTCTGTTCAGCGCAAGGCACTAATGCGCACTATGTGTAGCAGAGAGATTTTCACGAAAAAATGCCGGCAACAGCAGATTTTCGACTCAGACCTCAAAGGGGCGTGGCCTGTTATAACAACGTGACATTTACTCCGATCGCCAAAAAATTTATGTTATATTGTAGATTGATCTATATGTTATCCATTCTACGTGTTAGACTTACGATAAAAGTAAAGGTGGGGATACCAGAGAGCTTCAAAGTAGGATGGTACCCCCCCAAAAAAACTGGGTCGAGTCACCTTAATACGGAAACCCCGTCAAGAAAGGACACTCCCCCTCTGTGTCCGTATCAACGGAGTTTGACTTTACTGACACTAATTAAGGGAAAGAAAGTTAATTTGTATACTAGGTAATAGCATGATTTGTACGTCATATTTGGCATAAATACCACGAGTGATATTTCAAAATTGTTATACGTAATTTCACAAGCCGTTACGCGAGTGATACAATTTTGAAACATCACAAGTAGTATTTATGCCGAATATCACGTACAGATCATGCTATTATTTGTATATACTACTACCCACAAAAGGTTTGTAATTTTCACATGTAGGTATTTCAAATTACGCTGAAATACCACTGCTCTAGGCCAATCAAATCGCAGAAACTTCTCATGTAGTAGTATAAGAGGACGAATGGGGGAATAACAGTAAGAGAAATTAACCACGCAAGTGCAATACGTAAGTTTATTTTGTCCCACTATGTTAGAATTAAACTGCCGTTATTTTACACTTGGATGATATGTTATGAGACTTGTATTTTATGTACATATTTACCTGTATTTTATTTACATATTTACTAAAAACACACACAAAGACTGCGTGTGCAAGTTTTTGAAAATCGCCATAGTTACTTCGCAGTAAGAACAAACAAACTCGTGAAAGTCACCACTATGATTCCTCACTGGTTCGCGGGCTAGATCAGACAAGTGGCGGATTCCAGAATCTCGTCTGCCATTGCACATTGAGAAGAAATAAAACTAATCTTTATAAATGGCAAAGCTTGGTTCTTATATATTGCCTCAAGGATTTAGTGCCCCAGTATATTATGCTCACACTCCCACACGAGTTTCATTTAATTTCCCAGCCCTTTTCGATATGAACATATTGGGCGTGGCACCTACGAAGTGCACGGTCTCCGACAATTGGCTCTCAAACTATGCTAACTATCATTTGCTTTGGAGTCTTTAAATGTCGTATGAGTCTCGTCTCCCATCCATTTCTCTCTGCACTGTCAAAGTAATGAAGCGCACGGTCTCCGACAATTGGCTCTCAAACTATGCTGACTATCATTTTCTTTGGTTGCTTTGGAGGCTTTAAATGTTGTATGAGTCTCTTCTCCCATCCTTTTCTCTCTGCACTGTCAGCGTAATCCAAAAATGTTTTTGTCTGTAGAGACTTGGGGAGTCGTGTAGGGTCAGTCCAATCGATACGAATGACAATCACTGTAGTGTCACTTTTTTGGAAACTCCGGTGTAAAGCAAAGTCCAGTTCTTTATTGCAGTATATACTAGAAGCGAAATTGGCCGACCAGACTGCTAAAAATTTGCGGCTCTTACAGATGCCTTCCACTATGTTTTCTACAAACGCTTTTCCAAGTTCAAAGTGTAGGAAATCCACGCAATATTTCACTTGGTTATGATTAAATAGTGGTAACAGCTCTCTGTCCACCCAGGGGAAATCTTTTTTGCAGTATGAGAGGAATACATCATACTCGACGTCTTTGGCGTCCAGATCTGGGGGAGATTTAACTAGGAGGCAGGGAAAAACAAATGATGATTATTAGAACAAGGAGAAAAGACGCTGGCCAGCGCTCACTCTGAAGGGGTTTTTCTTCTACAGAAAGGTTGTAAAAAGGACAGCTGAGGTGTCGTAAAGGCCACACCATTCCCTCTTGTAAAAGCTTAACGCTTGGTGCTCCTGAACAAGTTCCTGGGTACCGGCACAAACTGGTGTTGTGTTCACCCTTGATTAACTGATATGTAAATCTCTACATATATACTCCATATCTCCCTGTCAGACGCCATTTTGAAATGTGAGCTTAACAGGGAGAATAAAGAATTGATTGCCCAGGAGCTAAAAAAAAGACAATGTGCACAGCGCCCGAGTAAAAAGACTCAATCTTGTACTGTGGCATCTACGGTGGCCCGTAAGGGACATGACATTTTTTTTTGTTTTGCTAAGTTAAAACCATCGCGCGATAAAATGAACAGTTATCGCCACGTGGGGGGGTAGGAGAGAACCCTGGGAACGAGGTTGGAGTTATCGCGCGATAATAAGTCAGTTTACCGCGCGATATCCACAGAATTTAATAACTCTAGCTCTCTCTGAAATACCCTTTGAAAATAGAAAAGAATCACTCCAACAAAAACCTTCAAGAAGAAAAACCATTTTGCCCTTTGTCACGCAATATCAACCATCATTTCCTAGCCTTACAAACATTCTTATGAAACCTGGCTACTGATAGAGAACCAACCTCTTCTTAGACAGATCTACAAAGAACCTCCAATTATATCGTACAAACGAGGAAGGTCTCTGAAACATATACTCGTAAAAGCTAAACTCTGAGAATTAAAGGCTGTAAACACGTGGGTGGAAAGCGTGAGGTCAGGCTTCTCTTTATCATTTGATATGTTGTAATTTGTCCCGCGATAAGCTAACCTATTATCGCGCGATAACTTAGCCATAAAAACAAATGTCATGTCCCTTACAGGCCACCGTAGGCATCGGCAGCATGCCCGAATTCGAACCTGGGTACTTAACAAAGGGTGTGTCCACATTAGTGCCCAGCGAGTACCGCTCTCAAGCACCACACCCTGGCACCAAGTTTGAACGCTGCCGAGGGACCCGGGATTTACCCAAACATTCAATGTGCACAACCCTCTCTGGCCTGTAAGGCACTGGAATGTTCAACTGCAGGTAATAGGTTGAGACCCAGATGGGCACAAAAATGGAACGCATCATGTAACATCTGGGCCCAGTTGTTCGAAGGCCGATTAGCTTTCAACCCGGGGTTAAATTTAACCCTGGTTTCTTTTTCTTGTGTTCAAAAGCATTTTGTCGGATAATCTTCTCTGTTATTTTAAGAGCTTCCAATCATCAACTTGTAGACAAAAAGAATTATAACTGAAATACTTTTTAAGCTTTCAAATCTTGATTCAAATCTCGCACTAACCCTGGGTCATCTTAACCCAGCTTTGAACAACTCGGCCCTGATGTATTTCATCATTGACTTACTTGATTTTGGAGGCCTGGGTTTTGGCCATCTCCATAGCTTCATAGAAACTATTATGGTCGTCACCAATCCAACAAAGAGACCCAGACCAATGAACAGTGTAGTTCCAAGCAAATCTGCTTTCCCCTGGGGCTTTTCAGTAGGTTGCTGAATACGGAAACCTGGTTGGGGGCCTGGTTTCCGCGTGACGTTAACACTAACGTTTTTCAGGTGTAAGCCAAGTGAGGTGTTAAGAGCACACATATACTCGCCACTGTCGTTCAGTCCAACGTTATAAATAGTCAATCCAATCTTCATTCTCTTTACGCTCCGTTCTGATTGTTCCACCCAAGGGGAAATGTTTTTTTCTTTATACTTGTCGTTACTGTTTATCCGGCTGCCGTTGAAAATCCAAAACGTGTCGACAAAAAACGCTTCCGGGTACACTGCATTGCAACTTAGCATTATATTTTCGCCTTCAACAGCGTCTATGTTCGATTTGGTTTGCACTAGAGTTGGACCTTCCAAGTCTTTCACTGTCACGGTTATATTCTGTGTTTTCATAACGCCAGTTGAATTAGCACCGCACGTGTATACGCCAGTCTGTGATAGCATGGCATTCTTTAGTAAGAACGTTGAGATGTTTGTGACTGTGTTACTTAAATCATGCTCGTTTCCTGTATGAAATGGTCTAGCTTCAATCATTTTGCCGTTGAAAAGCCAGAAAGTCCAAACGTCCATTGTTTTTGAGCACATGACTTCACATTGCAGTGGCACAGTGCGCCCTTCTTCAATGATGACATTTGGTGGCGATGCTGTGAGGTTCAGTACTGTAAGAAAGTAGGAAGAATTTAGGTTTCTGAGAAACTGCCCACCTACCCCTCCCCTAAGCCATAATTTTGCTCTAAGTGAGAAGGAAGTATTAATGGTAGCTTAGGGGAGGGGTAGAGCTCTCTAACAACTTCACTGAATGAACAAAGAGGATTTTGAACGTTATTACCTTGGGCCGGGTTTTTCAAAGCTGGGTTAAGATAACGCAGGGTTAGTGCAAAATTTGAATTCAGATATGAAAGCTTAAAAAGTAAATTTAGTTAAATTCTTTTTGTCAACAAGTTGATGATTGAATGCTCTTAAAAATAACAGAGAAAATTATCAGAGAAAATGCTTTTGAACCCCAAAGAAAAAGAAACCCGGGTTAAATTTAACCCTAGGTTAAGTGCTAGTATGCCTTTGAACAACTGGGCCCACCTGGGTATCAGATACTTTAATGCGCGGTTTTATGTTTCTGATCCCGGTCAAGTCTTAACTGAACATTCATCGGCCTCTCTTTGGATAACGTTTATTTTAAAAGACTGTCTTCAAACTCTTCCAAACGACCACTTTAAACATAGTCTGGTCTCAAGAGGTTGCTCTTCTACCAAAAACAAAGAACTAATACACTTTACATTTACACAAAATTTGCTCTTACTTATAAATCTAGCGAAGGTAAAAAAGTTATACTTACTGCTTTCATATAAACGCAGCTTTATAGAAGCTTCGGCTTTGTCGTGTATTCCAAAGTTACTAACTTGGGCAATGCAACGATAGTCACCGGCATCTTTCTCTGATACATTTAAGATATCTAGAGAATACTTTGCCTGTCTTTTTGGAAGCCAGATTAGTTTGATATTCCTGTTTTCTTTATTCTCTACTGTCTCGTTGTTAAACTTCCACATAAAATCGGTATCGAGTGGTTGTACATTACTTCCTTTGCAAACCAATGTAACGTCGGAGCCTCTCACTGCGGTTACTGTACTATTGAGTGAATGCATTTTTGGGAAGGTATTGGCATCTGTGGAGAGGAATGTAGCAATTCAGCGATCAAAAATCAGAATGATAAACGTCAATGTATTCAGTACGTCGCGAAGGTTTAGTGTTCACTCTTTGGTCCTTTGATGAGTATTATCACTGACTTTAATGCCAGTTTTGTGGATTTATTCACTGGATAGTATAATTTGTTTCGAAAACACTGAATAGTGTTTTATCTGCAGACAATTGCTACTCAACTTTTAAACTGAACTAGCCTCATATATTTAAAAATGTGTTTCCAAAATAAATATCTTCAATTTTGGCCTTCGAAATACTGTACTTTTGCTCGCGGAAATGTCCTAGAGGCTGGGAACGAGTTCATAGACCCAACCGTGTTTTTGCTCGCGGAAATGCCCTAGAGACTGGGAACGAGTTGATGGACCTAAAATTCTTTCATTCTTTAGTCTCAAAATGTCCTGCGATTCAGAATTAAATGGTTTAACTGACCCTAACGAACGTTCTGACATTGGCCATTTAAAGGAATTTTGCCAGCAAACTTAAAAAGATTGACTAGCCTAAGAAAACAGCTGATATTTCTCGACGGCACTACTGGTTTCGCCTCGACGTCCTTTCGCGGTGAAACCGTTTGTGGCGTTGCCAAATGACGGCTGTTTTCTCAGGCTAAAGGTTGATTTGAAGATCCATTACATGGTGATTGCCACCTGGGCTGGGTTGTTAAAAAAATTCAGGTTAATTCTCTTTATCTACAATTTGATAACTGGATGCTCTCAAAAGAACAGAGAAAATTATCCGAGAAAATGATTTATCGAATTAAATACATCTATTATATGTAGGGAGGATCAGTAGGAATCACTTTAACTAATTAGATTACGATCTAAAACCGGTCTTCCTTTTTGCGTAATGATAACCCAGCCAACATCCGTTCGGCGGTGGCACTCACGTTTTTATTTTTGGGATTAAATGCAAGACATTTTGTTGCTATCGTTTTGTTTTCCTCCATGTGATTGTCAAGTGCTCTTGACATTTAAAGGTTGTTAAATTCAGTTTCTGTTCTCTTAGCTTCCTGTTTCTACAGATTTGTCAACGAAGCAAAACCTCAACCCAAAACTGAAAATCTCAGACATCATTTCATTTCATTTTTGAGACTTCAAACCAATTGAAATAAATTCGTTGCACGTTTATACGCTAGAAAGCCGGTAGCAAAATGGAAATTTGGAGGATTAAGCCTTATAAGGCTTGTCCAGGCTTGTCTAAAGGCATTTAATAAGCATGGACGCTTCACTTACGAAAGTTGTGAGAAACTGCATTAGAATACAAAGATCACTGAATAATATAACATACCAAACAAATTAGGCTATGCAGCGATAGTCGCCAACAACACTGACCTCTGATACATTTAAGATGTGTTGAAAAGAGGTCTGCTTGTCTCCTCGAAGTTAGTTTGTTTTAATATAGTTTCTGACCCATGAAATAAACAGTCACATAAAGAAAGGTCTCAATATAGAAACTGCTTCATGCTCACCGATTTTCTTGAGGTTTTGCGACTGAGACACATATTTCTAGTAATTTCTTGTCGGTTTTGAATAACTGAGATCCCTCCGAAGTTACTATTTTCATAAATTGCTCGAATTGGGGATATTTATAAGTAGAATACACGACAAGGGACTTTCTTTTTTTCGTGCCTTAGGCCATCAGCAGCGAGGAATCTTATAACTCCGTGTATCTTCCACTGGAAAACAAAAAAATACATTTACATAAGATCGTCAAAAACAAAGGAATAACTTTTCCCTTCTCCCCTCTAAGTCCATCATCATCTAAAGATCCAATCTTGTAGTCCGTGATTCCGGGAACAAATGAGAAATGTAGGTCCACATTTTTTAAAAGTCCTTTATCGAAATCCTATGATGTAGCTATAGAAGTGAGAGACTTTCACTTGGTGCTGTTCAGTTGATTAGTGGTCTATTTTAAGTGAATTTTGCGGTTTTCCGCAATTTTGGTTTTTAACACTCTTTGGCCTGAAATGAAGTGTAAATCCTTGGGAAAAAAACCTTTTAGCTACCAAACAATTTGTTGGAGGCGTGATTTCTGTTCATCATGTAGACGAGAAGGCGTAAAATAAGTTACATGTGTACTAACTTCTACCTTCTTTATGCTCAGTAACATGTAACAAAAGGATTATTTAAAACAGCCCAAATTTACATGTTCGAAAATTCGATTTCCTAATTACACAGGTTCCCCAGCGCTCTTCGTGAAAATGAAACCAAAAGATGCATGATTGGCTTTATCGTTGTTGTTTAGCTTTAAAAATCACGAGAATAAACAATGAACAGACGAGATTCACTCCGAAGTGCTATATTTGTGCATTCAAAAGTCCTCATTACCCGGGTTTTAATGTTTTTGCCCGACATATCTCCTTGAGATCGGACACAAGCACATCTGCTTTCTAAAGTGGGGCGCAAAATACAACCTCCTCTAGATTTATGTGACGTTCCTTTAAAACTTTTCAAATCCTGGACTTTTTCCTGAGCCGGCAAAGCGGGATAATTTATGTTTCGCATAGACAAGATTGAATCTGCCAGGGACAGCAAAGTGCTTTACAAGCAGTTCAAGAACCACGACAGCGAGCTGAGCTCTACAGATCATATCAAAACTGAAATTTCTCATAAACCATAAAAGCCTCAATCGCTTGTCGCTACTTGTAACATGCTCTGTCTGTCTGTAAAAGCAAATTTGAGTTGTGAGGGATGTCAATTCCTCTTTCACTAGGAAACGCATTGGTTAAATGATACAGTAGGAGAGACACATTTAACAGTTCAGGTCGTAAGCTTGAGCTAAACAGGCGTGAAACTAGAAATCAATTAAACGGGTTAGTGAGATGACAAGACTTAAAAGCACACGAAAATTGGAAACCTAAAATGTCATAGCATACACGGAAGTGTGGAAGTAAGGCCAATATAGCGGTAAATACTGAGGTTAATAAGAGTTGGTACATATACTGTAATTCAAAGAACTGATCTGTGACGGTGTATACGATAGAAAAACCGACAAGATAGGGTTCGTACGATACCAGCTATAACGTCATTCTCCCAGTTAGAAAACCGCTAACCAACAATGGCTGACAGCAAGAATACAAACGTTGAGGTACATTTTATGGGAGAAATATAAAAACTGACATCTTGCATAAATGTTACGGTATTTTGAATAACGCTGAGTTCCGTCTTTCGTGTCTCTTGTCCGTATTCAAATGTCGATCAAAATACATACCCTAGGTTCTCTTATATTTGTCAGCATTTGCAAAGATTTCAGGTCACAGCAGGTTGAGTCCAAGGCTGACGGATTCTGATACCCATTTTCAGCATTCAATTTAAAAGCCATCCTTATACTTGCAAGAACAAACACAGCAATCCAGCTTGCATATTCGGACCTGATCACTTAGTCCACCGTGTTTATACACTTGTAAATAAACGTCATAATTAGATAGATAGCAACGGCTTCCCTATCTTCTTTCTCGAGAACGGGGTGATTGAGAATTGGCGACAAGTGGTTTATTTTCCAGTATATTTCATATCTTTTTAGTGGCTTAGAGTAAACTTCATGAGGAAATACATTTTGATTTTATTTTTTCGTCAGCCTTGACCCCAAAAACCTCATTTTCCCCTCGACTGCTAAATCTAGTAACGCGGCGGAAGGGGTTTAACCCTGGTAATCTCTGTTTAGCTGATTTAGAACATTAAACACAGCACGCACACTTTCTAGAGTTCATTTTCGCCTAGCTCCTCCCTGGCTTCTTACCTGACATCCATAGCAACGTTGTAAGCAGCAAATTTGCTAAGAGAACAGTCATTTTGCCTGAAATGTGCCCCCAGAAGATGAATGTTGTGCTCTGCACAAGGTGAAAATGATGTCCTATCTGGTTATGCCATGGTTTTTAACTTTCGCTTTCGATCTTATCAGGTTTGAATAATTTAGTCAGGCTAGAGGAGTTGAGGGGAGGGGCAGGGCTAGACTGCTTAGCTGAGACTTCATAAATTTGTCTTGAGATACAAATGTGTAATGGCCCTAAAATCTTTTTTGTCAGATGTTATTATTTTTAATGAGATTGTGGGATTAAACAGGAGATGGGAAAATGTTAAAAATAACACAGTATTGGGAAGGCAAGAAAATGTACTGAATTTTGTTGAATCGTAGGGTTTAACATCAGTGTAATTGGTTGTGAGTTTTTTGCTATGTGAAGGCCTCCCCCCGGATCTCACTAGACTATTCCAAGAATTCGAGGCACCACCTGTTTATAATTTGAATTCTTTAACTTCATCATATATGCCCCGTTGCTGGGCAGAAGTAAAATATCTGGGTTGGTCGGATGGAACTCGCTGCAATATAGCCACATTTTAGTTAATCGCCTTACATAAACGTGGTCTCTAGTCCACGTTGCATGTTTTCAGTTTTAATTCAGTGTAAGAATTTGACGGTTTTTTGCCAGCAAAAGGCCAGCATACTGAGCATATCATTGTTTTTGTTACTTAATGCTTTTTCAAATGCTTCTTTTTTATTTGAAAGACCTCAGTGTTCTCAAAGGGCTATTTACATTAAGAATCGTGGGTAATATAATTGATTTTCTATACCTTAGACTGTAGATAATATCAACAATATGTACCTTGTACTTAAGATGCTATCAACATAGAGGCGACATTGTGGCCTTCGGCTACTATTCAGTTTTCAATGCACTACTTGGGGGAAGTATTCTGTTGTCCGGCTCAAACGAAACTTTTAAATCGTTCTGCAAAGCGTGTACGAATCTCAAAATCGGAGCAAAAAAGGCAAACTAAAAAGTTAGGTGATAAGTGAATTGTCGTGATTAGACTTGATTTAAACGATTTGTGGCAAGGTTAACTTACACTGAGTTAATTATAGATTGAAATAGAAAACAAGTTCACATAAAATTTGAAATTGCTTTCTTTTTGTTCGTTTTGACAATGTGCTTTCTGAACACTTTTAAATGGAACAATACTCGAATCATAAGAAGTCTCTGACGGGGGTTTGTTCGAAGACAAAGAAGCTTTGAAAAAAACGGCTTAAAAACAAACTTAGAAAAAAATGAGTTTGAACGTCTCATTTCAGCAATCCATGAACGTTCGGTTGGGTTGGAAAACTGTTCAGCAAACTAAGCTTTTACCCGAGCTCTTAACCCAGTTTAGACGATTTTTTAATCAGTTGAAAATACCACAGCGATGGTCTTCATTAATTTAACTCATTCCTTCGCATTCTGTGCATATGTTCATATCACAAACTAAATCAGTTTAATTATATGTACCAAAATGTGAAACTTAATGCTTTGAAATGTGCCACTGAGAGGCACTGCTCAATTGTTCATTCGACTGATCATTCATAGCCTTCGTAAATTTTAATTACTAAAAATTGAGCATGACTTCTTTTTAAAAGCTAGTATATAAAGTTTGCAAAAGAGCTGTTTTTACAAAAGTTTTCTTTATATCCCTAAACTTTTGGAAACTTCCGTCTTCCTTTTCCATTCGTGATTAAAAAAGGAAATTTTTGAGCACCCTATCCATCTTGTCATCAATCTATTCAATTAAGCGCCAACTCTTGACCTGTTATGTCGACTAGAACCTCAACGCTGATTGTGTTCGAAACAAAGACAGTCATGAACCACACGTGTTTTCCTTGGAGATGCGAACCTTGTGAAAAACAGGAAGAATACTAAGCTACATTTTTGCCAAAATATCAGCCACGAGGAATTTATCTCGACCCTTTAGTAGTTTGCCCTCTAGCTTGCACGTCATTCACGTTAAACAGTCCGAAAGTCGGAACTTTTTTCTTTTGCATGAGTGGTGACCATGATGTCCTTTGATGGCGAAAGTAAACCGAAATTTCGAAATTCTTCGTACTATACATTCTTAAATGAATTTTGAATTTTTTGATATCATTCTTTTTAACACCACGAGGTTAACATCCTTATTTGGTCTGAAGGCATTCATACATTCATTCATATCTTTGTTTATTATTTTTTAAACTGTAACGATCTATAGCAGAGCTTTTAAAGCTTCACGTGTACAGCAAACGTCAAATTCAAGTTGAGAATGTCTCAAAATAGAAAAATGAGTAGATAAAAACAGCTCAGAAAATTCTTATGGATAAAAAATTGCCTGAAACTCAAGGAGCTACTAATTTATGTGTAGAAATAATGAACAGTAGGCGACAAGCAAAGGGGAAACTTGGTCACGTGGTATAAATTCGCGTAAAAGTGATTCTTACCTCTCTATAGTACTCCATAGTACCGTCTTTTGTCTTTAATAGTAATTTTTTTAGCAAACTGTTTTCCCAAAAAGAGAAACTACATCTAATGAAAGGTATCTATTTCCTTATTTATACGTCCAATAGGGATGAAATACTTGCTTTTCATTTTAACTGAGAGGCCGCAGGTCTTCTACCTCCGAATTCATGTGTATTAACTCATTGAAGCAATTGGAAGGACAGTCGAACTTCTTAATACTAAGAGACCACTTTTTTTCTGACCCCACTCTAGGATTAAAGTTGGCTTTGAAGAAAAGGAACACAAATTTCTGTTTGGAACATTCCGCCCGCAGAAACGGGACTACGTTATGTTTCTTCAGCTAGTATTTCTGATCTTACCCTTGCGCAGCTCTTTTTCAAAAGGTGTCACACGAGGCACCGCAAATCAGTTAGTTTAAACATTTAAGGGCTTTTAGAATTTATAAGTAACCGCCTTCTTTTTAAAAATTTACACAAAGAAAGCACCTCACGTCATCGTTAACTTCCATGATCCACTGAATCAACTGAGTTCCTTGGAAATAGACCAAGAATGAACCGAAATACGAACATGGGACTAAAGGAAAATTTAGATATAATAAAATAACGAGGGTGCCAACTTTCCTCACTAGCAGTCAATGGCTGAATTGCTAAGGAACCAGAATCTTCAATTTATTTGAACTGTTGTAATAATATCATGTCAAGTTATGGTAATGTATATTCCACTCTTATTCTAGTTTTTGAAAAAACCTTTTTGTGCTTATTCTTTTCTTTTTTGACCTCTAATTGTAACGTCTCATATGTATATGTTAAAGCAGCACACTTTATCCCTAAAGACGGACAAAGGACTGTTCAACTCGAGCCAAATTATTCTTTTAATATTTTCACGTGCGTAAGTTGCCCTACGATCGCGGGCTCGGCTCTCAGCGATAACTTAACTTACGAGCCGAATTAAAAACGTCCTGCACCACTATCGAGCTCCGGGCATCAGTTCTGTTTCAGAACGTATCAGATTGTAACAATGGCAAACCGACTCTTTACCAGTAATCTTAGTCGAAAAGCCTATTTATAGTGATGAATATTGTTTTTACTTTCGCAATTTTTGTATAAAAGTTAAGAGTGAACTTTTTAAATTACTTTTCTGGGACAACTGAAAGCAATCCTTAATCATGAGTGTTAAATTTGTTGTTTTTGTTTTAAACTCTTTAGGTTATAACTACCTTATGTCAGGTAAGTCTCATGGTATCTTGTTTTTTTTGAAGCAGTTAAGTAAAACTAAGGTCAAAATTTATTGAACGTTTTATAATTTGCCACAATTTATTGGCCAACAACGTGAAAATAACATGTTCACTACGTCTTTGCTCAAAAAGCAAGAGTCAAAGTACACTAAAACAGCGTACATATAAAGTTCAGGTGAATGTGCATCTTCTTGAGAGGTTTAAGAGGGCTTATAAGGAGAGGCCAATAAATTAAGCAGGATAGAAAAAACAATTGGAAGCAAGCTATGTTGTTTTGATCAAAAAACGTCCTGGTTTTTAATTAAGCTTAAAAAGGCCATAATAAATGTAATTCTTAAGGGGTTAGGGTCTAAACCCTAACCGGAGCTACAATTCTGGACAAAAGTTCTCAGGACAGTACTGCAATATTCATATTTTTCTGTCATTTCTCGGTTCCCTCTTAAAACAGTGCATCCTTTTCGAAATTTTCTGGCCGTTCTCCCTTCCCCCACCCTATACAAAATTGAAACTCAGAAAAAATTCTGGATATACGCGTCCAACATTGTTTGTGAGGTGAGGGGAGGAGTTGGACCTGTGTGAATTGGAAAACGCCCCAGAAACGCAAAAGTGTCCCAAGACTTTTGTCCTTGATTGTAGATGGGGCTTATATCATGGGGGGCTTATAATAGGAGCCAGAGGGGGATTATAATAAGGGTTAGAAGGGGATTATAATAGGAGCTAGAGGGGGATTATAATAGGAACTAGAGGGGGATTATAATCGGAGCTAGAGGGGGATTATAATAGGAGATAAAGGGGGATTATATCCTGGGGGCTTATAATCGGAGCTAGAGGAGGATTATATCCTGGGGGACTTATAATCAGAGCTAGAGGGGGCTTATATCCTGGGGGGCTTATAATCGGAGCTAGAGGGGGCTTATATCCTGGGGAGCTTTTAATCGGAGCTAGAGGGGGCTTATATCATGGGGGGCTTATATCGGAGCCAGAGGGGGATTATATCCTGGGGGCTTATTATCGGAGCTAGAGGGGACTATATCCTGGGGGCTTATATCGGAGCCAGAGGGGGCTTATATCATGGGGGGGGGGCTTATAATCGGAGCTAGAGGGGGATTATATCCTGGGGGGCTTATAATCGAATGTAACTGGGGAACTTAAGAGCTAAGGCCCACGGTATACATGTGCGCTCAGTTTTTCTTTGGTTCTCCCCCGTGCTCTGAAAAGGTTTGTCACCGAGTACCCTAAAACCAACAACCCCAAATTCGCCTTTTTGTGGATGAGCCACCATGAAAATCAAATATTTATGTATTTATGGGTCTATAAGCCGAAGGAGCCCATTTCATGAAGTTATTTCTTTCTTAAACACAGTCAAACTCCGTTAATACTGACACAGGAGAAAATAGAAAGTGTCCGTATTAACAAGGTATCTAGAGAAAATGTAATGACTTACTTTCGACCTTTCGACAGGGACAAAGCCATAACTGATGAGGTGTCCGTAATAAGCTGGATTTGACTTAAGTAACTCTTTCTAACCCTCTTCCTAGGATTTGCTTCTGTGTTCCCAGTGGTCAATCCAGTCCAACGCAGCATAGTTACAAGGAAAGGATCCAACGTAACATTGGTTTGTTTTGGTCGCAATGTTAATCCCTTGGATACAATGTCACTTTGGAAATTTAAAGGCCAGGAAATTACAGAAGGTGGAAACAAAAAGGTCAGAACAAGGTGGCTGCCTGGAGGAACTGGGAATTTTTCCCTGCACATAACGAACGTTTCAAACAAAGATGTTGGCCAGTACATGTGCTCCTTGTCAGTTTCGAATTTTAACAAGTTGGACGTGGCAGAAAGTTTCATCAAGTTAAAGTTGTATAGCAGCGGTACGTACTAAATAAATTATATATGATTCTGGGTTCATTATTTCAACAGCCGAAATCTGTATGTTAGAATACTGGAGACCAACATCACCACGAAATCTCTCTCGTGTAATGTACCGTTCAGTTATAAGCGTCTCTTTCGTAATCACTTCCAGTAACGTACTTAAGGGGGAATTCTGGCTGGATTTTCGTTGCAAAAGAGGTGAATCGACAATGAAAGAAAGCGGCACTTCAAGTTTTAAAATTACAATTATATACGGAAGAAATTATTTCCTGGATTGATCAAGATTAAATCTGCTAATTTTTAGTCTTTCTGTCCGGTTGACATGTAGTCTACAAGTTAAAGCTTTGTTCTTTGAGAATGTTTGACGAACTAAGCCTTGTTAACTAGTTCATTTTTATATCATCGGCTTGTTTTCGCTTACAATTGAATTAAAGTTTGTTTAATTTGCTGATCCAGTAAGATGGCCAAAGGGAACGTACGCGCTACCAATGCCAGTGTGTGGATGCCCAAAGAGCAAAAAAGCGCTGTGGTCAGAAGGATTTCTGAAGCAGAATACAGAGGACACCACTCCTCTCAGTAACTGGTCACGCCCAACTCATTTGAAGGGACTCAAGAAAAACAATGTGATCACCCAACACTTCTGCGTGAAAGAAAAGAAGGGTGGCTCCGACGAATGGCCGGCTGGAAAATACTGTATATACAAGAAAGGCAAATGTCCTCCAGGTCAGAGTTTGAAGCTGGGACTTGTCAATAGTTTTGATTAATATATTTCTTGCCTTCTTAAATTATCTCAATTATTTTGGCCTAGAGATTTGAAACATTTTCTGGGATACATGTCGTGTCGCGCCGGTGGTTCAAAGCTGGGTTAAAATAACCCAGGGTTAGTGTGAAATTTGAATTCGGATATTAAAGCTTAAAAAGCAGATTGAGTTTAATCCTTGTTGTTGTCTACAATTTGATGACTGGATGCTCTGACAGAAAGAGAAAATTGTACGAGAAAAGGCTTTTAAAATTAAAAAAGAAATCGGGATTAAAACCTAACCTCGGGTTAGCGCTAATCGGCCATCGAACAACTGGGCCAGAGCATCAATGTCATTTACTTTGATTGTGCTGTGCGTTTCCGTAGAGCTTCGCCAAACCTAGAGAATTTTTTTTGCTGCTGTTGCCACCTGAAAAATTCTCTTTTTGTCTTCTATTGAAGTAGTACGCCGCTTGACTGTGTTCTTAATTCCCAATGAATAATAGGTTTTGAGGAGGGATCGATCAAGTGGGATGACGAAGACACGAAAAACGATAATAAGGCCAGCGGTGTTCTCCCTGACGGCGACTATGGCAAAGACACAGTGGTGCATTTCTGTTGTCGGTCAGATGGATCAGCGGATAAACCTATCGAACTGCCCATGCGTGAACCGTTTTTTCTGTTGAAACACTCAAGCAGCTGTCAGGAAGTTATGGGCATGCGCTTTACGGAGGAATGGGTATTCTGGGACTGTGAAGACAAAGAAAACAAGAATGTAGTTTCTGGAAAGTTACCAGAATCTTTTGTGGCGAAGGATGTAAAGCTTTATTACTGCTACTACATCGAAAAGTAATATACCGTTAACTGTCGATTATAAGACCCGGGCTTTTACATATTCGTAAGGGGTTTTACGCGGGCTTATTAAAAGAGGATCTAATATCCGAGGGGCTTATTACCGGAATAAAAAGGGAGCGTTTCGAAATAAGCTATAGCAGTGCTGATACAAATACTTTTTGCATTAATTGGTATTTACTGCTCTTTTCAAAAACACGCGAATTCTGAAGTTCAAAAGCCGCCTTCACAATTACGTTTTTTTCTGCCGTCAGTCATAATTAGGATCACAAGCAACGAAGTAACAAACCTTGAAACACACAAACACAGAAAACGGATCTAAATCCACCAATCACAAATCACAAACCATGATCTTTTAAACCCGTTGAAGTAAACTTCTGTTTCCTAAGAGCTCCGCTAAGGTGATTGACGGCAGCGAAAAACCCAAAAGTCAGTTGGCTTTTGAACTTCAGAATTCGCGTCTTTATTAAAGCTTCAAAACGCCATAATCGAACTCATTTCTTTTCGAGCTAAAGGGAGGCTTTTAATCGGATGTATTTTTTTGTTTACAGGTAGATGGTAGATTGGTTTATAACGGGCGGGGAGGGGGGTTTGAAGGTGTAGGGGCTTATAACGCGGCAGTATACGGTAATATCAATAGTATTGTTTATTTTAATATTTATAAGCAAAATACTTGCCAAAAACCAAGAACACTTAAATTAAAAACAGCAGAAAGAATTTCAAGGCTTAAAAAAATTCCAGGGAGATGCATTGAATTTCACATTCAAAATCCACATTACATTAAATAGCTACTCTATATTTGAAAAATGCCTATTAAAGAAAACTATTTTTAAACTATTTTTAAAACTATTTTTAAAACGCAACCCTGGGAGTTGACTGTTAGGAACTCGGAAGCTCGCTTCACTTTCTTTCGTTTTGGAGACGGAAGGGTCTTTATGAATTTGTCAAACATAAAGTTCGTCATTCAGCGTTTATTTAAAATAAAAGAAAGAGTAAAAAACTATTTAATATCTAGAATTGTAATGAATATTTTAAATAGAATTTGAGATAAAAAAGGAATATAAGAACGTGAAAGTTAAAAAAAGAAACGGTTTATTGACAAAATATGTCATCTTCAACCCAAGAACACATATAAAACAAACAAAGAAGCAAACAAATGTATTTGGTGCGAAAAAGAAATAATAATAACGATAATACATAAAAAAACAAAAATCATCTTGAATCTCTGTTCTTTTGTGGTCTTGATAACGCTGCTGTTTATACTGGGGTGTTCCGTTCATCTAGGGTCATCTCTTCACCAGTGTACGACTGCTGCAGTCGCCTAAGTAAAATAAATATATAATTCCTTTATTTACCCTCGGCAGAATTTATAGCACTTGTCCTAGCGGGGCCAAACAAATGACTGAAATAAATAATCGAAATCAAACATAACAGGGTGGGACTTGAGCTCGATCGGGGCCTCCGAATTGCAAGTCCAGCGTTCCGAACCGCCCAGCTACGCTGCCCTATTCCAAAGACGACGAACATTCTTATTTCTCCTCCGACGAACATTCTTACTGTACTGAAGCAGTAATTTTATAACATCATTAGTTTGCTAATGTATAGCCGTCAGTTACGTATTTTTTCGTAAGGCACACACAAGGAAAGTCTAATTTTTTTGATAGGTAACAGGTTGCTGTCCAATACCTTCTTTTTTTTTAGTAATGTTTGAGTGGTACGAGACACATATTGAAATAGAGAGCTCCGTCGAGCTCCGTAGAGTACCAGGTGAACATCAACATCAACCAGGTGAATGTTGAAATCACTCCCTCCTTCCTTGTGCACTCTTCGCATTTCTCTTGTGACCAAAACCCCTCTCCCTTTCCTTTTAAATGCCTGCTATGGAGGCTAATCACCACTGAATAAAACGGGGACTAGGCAAGAAACTGACAAAGTCATAACATCCACACAACAACACACACCAATCTTGGAAGTAGATTGCTGGTTTCAAAATGCACAGGGCTTAACTGTATAATCAAACTTATCATTTAATTTAATACCTGTAATTCTAATCCTACTGATTTTATACCTGCATAAAGAGAGTCACATGTATGACTGCAATTTTATTATGCTTTTTTAGTCCTATTACATGCAAAAACAGACATTCCTACATCAGAGTACTCATCAGCCTATTTATATACCAGTTTCGAACATTTTATGCTCACCTAATGCTATTGTTTGGAGGAACCAGTCGCCGCTGCCCCGCTATTTTGTGATCAGCTTGTGATTACAACAGTAACACTTCCAGTAACATGTCACATTGGTCTTCGCGAGGCTACATTTTCCCATGAAAACATGCCGGTTTCAATTCGGAAAAAGTATCACAAAACGTGGGGCGCGTTGGGGAGCGATAAAAAATTAGCGTAGAACAAGGTTTGTAGAAACACTTACAACTATCTTCTACTTTCGACGGGCAATATAATGGAAATTATAGCCTCTTAAAAACCGGGTTCAAATTTCATGCTCTTACAGGAGGAATCTTCGGGCTCCACGTTTTAGATTGAAATGAAGAATATTGATTTGTTTTTCTTCACAGAAACAATCTAAACAAATATTAGCTTGTGAAATCGAGAAAAACTATCTAAGGAAAGAACTGTATCTATTGAAAAATAAAGCATATAACCTGCGAAATTTCTCGACCTTCGCCGCCATCTTGAAAATTTTGAATCCACAATGCATCGCAGTCGTAGTGCGCACACCGCCTGGTAGAGTACTTAACATTGTCAAGTTGATTGTCTTGTCTTCTCTAAGAAATTCATATGCAAATAAAGACGTCAAACAATTGTATACATTGACTTACATATAGGATCTTGAAATGTTTAAAATCTATGTTAATGAAGTTATATAATTAACCGTGAGTTGGGTTCCGACCCCTTATTCTTTCAATTTCAAAACATTTTTTTTTCAACACGTGTAAATAGTGTTGTCAAATAAGGGACTCAAAACATCTGTTCTATTCCCTTTGGAAAGCAACAGGGTCACAGCGGAAAGCAAAGTATATAGTAAAGGCAAATGTTTGTTATTTTATTGAAAAAAATTCGGTTAATTTTCGTCTTATTTCTCCTCTTTTTTAAATCGTGCGACTGAAATCAATAGTCTGGCTTTCACATGAAAGCTATTGGGCAGGCAAAATCGTTTTGTATAATATTATGGAGCAAAAACGTTCACGCGAGTAGGTCCATACCACAGTTCACGCTTTTTTGTTGTTTTAAGCTTGGCTATCTGTAACGGGAATTGGATCGAAAGGGCCTTTTCAGCATTTATTAAAGGCATGAAGTGTAATAAAATTTAAGCTTTCCCTTTCACAAAAAAAATCAGTTTGTTTACCCAAACGTTAATACAAAAAAGTTTCAACGCAGCTCAAATTTATTTATTTTAGACACTACACGTGTGGAGTCTCTATTTAAGTTGCTCATTTACATGGTGATTTCATCACTCGGTCTGTTTTGAGAGGGCTCCGTAGGGTTCGAATCACAGGGAACAAAAAGCCATTAATTACATCTTACGCTTGAAAATTTAGTGTCATCTCCACCTGAGTTTTGATCTTTTGCCCTTTTTGTATTCCACCTTTACTTAACTTAAGGATAAAAGGAAAAATGAATTTTTTGATCATCGTTTCCATGCTAAGACTCTTTCGCAGGGTTTCCTTTTGCTCTAAAACGTGATCGTTTTCAAGGAACGCGTTTTAATTAGGTTAAGCTAGCGTTCGTCGTCTCATTTAATTTCTGGTTTCATTTGTCTTTCTCTTTTCTTCTTTTTTCAGTGGGACTGGGTGAATTTGCTTCTTTTGTCAGTATAAGCTTTTCCCGAGCGGTTAAGGTCGCTTTCAAATTTACTACGCAACACCGTTCCGATATTTAAACATATTTTTTGCAGTTCAGTGAGATCCAAGGATGGAATTGGAGAAACATAATACATGGAAATAAAACAGAATCATTATTTTCTTTCGACACATGATATTTGCAAGCTAATTAAAGGCAAATTTATTCACAAGATCAAAAGCTAAAATAATTCGTCATTTAAGTATTCGTCCAATCATAAACATTCTATGTAAATGTGCTTTAGAGACAACTCTAACATCGGTAACGTATTAATTTTTTTTCTCACTATAGTTTGATAACTTTCGCATCCGCTGTCTACTTTTCAAAAACTTCAAGTCGTAATTCTAGCTGGTTGTACGTCTATACTTAGCATGGAAACTTAATTTGCCGGCTTAACTACGAATTGACATTAAGGTTGTAAGGTTGAATCGGAAACAGATAAAGCCGTGAAAAAGGCAATATTTTAGTTATCTGTCCAGTATGAAGCTGAACAAATAATTAAGCAGAAAGTGAAATTTGCTATTTTGTTCCAATTGGCGACAAGACAAGATCTAGAAGAGGTAAGTGCGAGATTTCTATCCAATCTATAATTGTTCCCACTATAATAGAGTTTTGCTCCATATTGGTCTCTGTTGTATCTGGCTGTTGGAGCAGGTTCAATTTTTACTTACATATTCACTACTGCTTTTTTTTCCCTTTTGTTTGGGAATCAGTTTTAGGGAATTCTAAAGTGTTACTAAACGTTAGCATTTCGCTAAACTCATTTAAGATAACTTTTGCGAGCAGCCATCAATTTCGCTCTTCAAATTCTTTTTTCTTGGGCATGAAAAAGATTTAGAAAATGTCACCAATGTTCTTTGATATCGGCTGTTTGAAGAAAATAAGATTGGCAAGAAGATTATTGTTTCAGTCTTTTATTCAGGTTCAAGTTCATAACAACCTAATATAAAAGCAGCTTAAACTAGATGCCAGCTGAACCAGCAAGTCTTTATTTACAGCATACGCACTTTTAATATTCAGCCTGCATTGACATATGACCATTAAACAAAACCACGGGGAATCTTGTTGAAAAGGCTTGCATATATAATAAAAAAGTTCTTCTAGGATGTTTACAAAGGTGTCAGAGGCATTTCATTTTAGT